TGTGGAAACATGTTGGGAAAAGTGTACAGTAGAAATGCCACCTTTGGTTAAGTTTCCACCAATTTTTCTTCTTTCTTCATAACTGTAGCCTTGTTCACTTAATAATACTATTTTGCATCGCTTTCTTGGCAACCAATCAACTCTTTGCACCATTACTTTAATTTTATTAAGTTTTACAAACTCACTAAATGAAAGAATACAAAAAAACCCAACCAACTTGATAGTGATCACATAACACACTGACAAATGTCCTCCTCTCAGCTTCAATACATGACATCAATAACTGAATCCTATTGTGATCTGACTGGCTCACTGCCAAAACAAGATGACACCTGATTGGCTCTCTAAACAGTCATACTCATTAGCTATAATCAGATGAAGGAAAGCTATTTGATATCAACCTTAGCAAGTTGTGCTTCCTTTTTCTGTTATTTGGCTATAACTTTTCATAGAATACAGTACAGATAATTGAACAAACTTTGTTGCATTACATTCTTGATTAAATTATCTTTCCATTGATATATAATTTTATGGTACTACCCCCCCAAAAGTGGTGTTATTAGCCATCAAACCTCAAAAATACACTTTTTCCAAAAGGTTTCCACAATTTTGGCCACTATTGTACACTAAGCTGGTCCCCTTGTCCATGATCAGATTATGGATGAGGTGAGCTTTGTTGGAGGCTGACTTGACATTAAGCAGCAGCAGTTCTTGAGACTAGGTTTTGGGATATAGCACAGAGGGATGGAGTATACCACATATTAATACCACACTGGTGTTAAACACCAGGCCCATCTTCCCTGAAAGTGGCCTGACCCCTCCTCTTGCCATATTTTACCATCACCACTTCACTGCTGTCCACCACTCCGTCCCGATTGGTCTCTTCCATCATAATCTTATGGTTCCATCATAATCTTATCAAACCACTCATATCTCACATGAGAGCAAGAAGCCAACACAGCCTCACCATATCCCCAATTCCAAAACAGTCTCAACCGGCAAATCTCCCAGACGTTCTTTTTTATTCTGTCTTTAAACTTTATTGCTCCAATTCCTACCATGGAAGATAGCATGTATTATTAACTTTTTTTCCTTTCTATTACGCTAAAAATCAAGATACTGGTTTTTCGTGCTCTTTATTTTATAAGCATATAAGATACTCATTTTTTACTGACAATTACTAGAAATAAGTAGTTGTAATCTTTCACTTGTCTTTATTTTATTTATTTATTTATTTTTAAAATTTATAAGCCGCCCCACTCCCGAAGGACTCTGGGCGGCTAACAATAAAAAACACATAAAACGTAACAAAACAACAATACAAAAACAATCATCCAGGGGTAAGGTTTTATAAACCCCAGGCCTGCCAGAAAAGCCAGGTCTTAAGTAGCTTACGGAAGACCAACAGGGTGGGAGCGGTCCTAATCTCCGGGGGGAGCTGATTCCAAAGCGTGGGCGCCATCACAGAGAAGGCCCTCCTCCGCGGCCCCGCCAAATGGCACTGCTTGGCCGACGGGGCCTGAAGGAGGCCCAGCCTGTGGGATCTAACCGGACGTAGGGAACTATGAGGTAGTAGGCGGTCTCGCAAATAGCCTGGCCCTGAGCCATATAGGGCTTTAAAGGTAATGACCAACACCTTGAATTGGACCCGGAGACCAATAGGCAACCAGTGCAGCTCACGGAGGATAGGTGTAACGTGGGTGTATCGAGGAGCACCCACTATCACTCGCGCGGCTGCATTCTGGACCAACTGTAGTCTCCGAATACTTTTCAAGGGTAGCCCCATGTAGAGCGCGTTGCAGTAGTCCAAACGTGAGGTGACAAGGGCATGAGTGACTGTAAGGAGAGCCTCCTGGTCCAGGTAGGGTCGCAACTGGTGCAACAGGCGAACTTGTGCAAAGGTCCTCCCAGCCACAGCCGTCAATTGATGTTCCAAATTCAGCTGTGGATCAAGGAGGACACCCAAGTTGCGAACCTGCTCTGAAGGGGGTATATTTTCCCCCGCAAGAGTCAACACTGGACAGTTGACATGATCCTTGGGAGGCAACATCCAAAGCCACTCGGTCTTGTCAGGATTGAGCCTGAGTCTGTTAACCCCCATCCAGACCCTCACGGCTTCGAGGCAACGGCCCATCACATCGGCCGCTTCACTGAGAGAGCTCGGGGAGGAGATATATAACTGGGTATCATCAGCGTACTGATGAAACCTCACCCCGTGCTGTCTGATGATCTCACCCAGTGAATTCATATAAATGTTAAATAGGAGGGGAGAGAGGACCGACCCCTGTGGCACGCCGCATTCAAGGGGCCTCGGGGTTGACCTCTGCCCTCCCACCAATACCGATTGCGACCGGCCAGAGAGGTAGGAGGAGAACCACCGTAAAACGGTGCCTCCCACTCCCACCCCTTCGAGTCGTCGCAAAAGGATACCATGATCGATGGTATCGAAAGCCGCTGAGAGGTCAAGTAGCACCAAGACAGAGGAATAACCTCTGTCTCAGGCCCGCCAGAGATCATCCATCAGCACGACCAAAGTGGTTTCTGTGCTGAAGCCGGGCCTGAAGCCAGATTGAAAAGGGTCTAGATAATCCGCTTCATCCAGAGACCATCGGAGCTGGAGCGCCACCACTCTCTCTACAACCTTCCCCACAAAGGGGAGATTGGAGACTGGACGGAAGTTATTTAAATCAGCCGGGTCCAGGGTAGGCTTCTTGAGCAGGGGCCTCACAACCGCCTCCTTCAGGGATTGTGGAAAAGACTCCTCCCTCAACGAAGCGTTGATCAACACCTGGAGCCAGCTTCGTGTCACCTCCTTGGCAGCCGAGACCAACCAGGAAGGACACGGGTCCAATAAACAAGTGGAGGCGCTCATTGCTCCCACCGCTCTGTCAACATCCTCAGCGGTCACAGACTCAAATTCATCCCATAAAACTGAGCTAAGACCTGCCCCAGTCATCTCAAAAGGCCCTGCCCAATCGGAGTCTAGGTCTGTCCGAATCCGAGCGATTTTGTCTGATAAGAATTGCACAAATTCCTCCGCTCTACCCTGTAAGGGCTCCCCAGCTTCCCGAACATTAAGTAGGGAACGGGTCACCCTAAACAGGGCAGCGGGGCGAGATTCTGCAGACGCAATAAGTGCGGAAAAATGCGAACATTTTGCCGCTCGTATCGCCACTAAATAAGTCCTAATATAGGCTCTTAGAAGTGTCCGATCGGATTTGGAGTTACTAGCCCTCCAGCGTCGCTCTAGACTTCTCTTCTGACGCTTCATCTCCCGTAGCTCCTCGGTAAACCAAGGTGCCCTCCGGGATCCACAATCACGGAGAGGTCGCAAAGGCGCGATCCGGTCTAACGCCCCTGATGCCGCCTTATTCCAAGCAGCGACCAAGGACTCAGCCGGTTCGTGGAGGAGGGAATCAGGAAAACCCCCAAGCGCTATTTGGAACCCCTCCGGGTCCATTAAACGCCTGGGGTGGAACCACCTAATCGGTTCCGCCTCCCTGCGGTGGGGGAGTAGGACCGAGAAATCTAACCTCAACAGGAAGTGATCCGACCATGACAAGGGAGAAGTGACTATACCCCTTAAATCGAAATCACGTCTCCACTGCCCCGAGAGGAATACCAAGTCGAGCGTGTGTCCTCCCCTATGGGTCGGATCCTGAATTATCTGGGTCAGGTCCATGGTTGTCATGGAAGCCATGAACTCCTGAGCCACACCAGAGGATTCGCCGAGTGACGGCAAATTGAAATCCCCCAGCACCATAAGCCTGGGGAATTCCACCGCCAACCCGGCTACCCCCTCCAGCAGCTCAGGCAGGGCTGTTGTCACATAGCTGGGAGGCAGGTATGTCAACAACAAACCCGACTGAACCCTTGAATCCAACCTCAAGAGAAGGGACTCACACCCAACAACCTCTGGGGCTGGGATCCTGCGAGGTCTCAGGGATTCTCGGTCTTCAATTTTGGCATCACATACCATGTCCAGCAGTGACAACATATGGTGATTAAAAGAGCCATGAATAATTCATTTTAACAGCTAATCTGATATTATTTTCTTTCCAAAATTGTGTTCTTTCTATGACTAACTTTTGAATCTAGTTATGTCCAAACTAGTACTTCTACTATGTAAGTCAAGAATAAGAATAATTCCATATGCAAATGACTATGAAGAAGTATCTGATTTTCTTAAAAAGGTAGTTCTTGTTTAATGATCAGTTGGGCCCAGCAACATTACTAAGCAAAGCAGTTTCTAAATGGGAAATCATATGACTACAACTGTGCTTTCCAGCTCAAAACTGGTAAGACTAATCAGTTTCATAACTTTGGCTTTTGTTTGCTTCCTAACTATATTTTGAAATGCACATGCCATTAACAAGGAAATTACTGTTTGTATTTACATTCACTGTGAAGAGGGAGGGGGAGAAGAAACAGGTCAGACACAGAAGGGACTGCCTGCAGAAATTGCTTATTCCCTCTCACATCCTTGCAGAATGGAGAAAGAGAGATTGGACTGCTGGCATTGTGCACATTGCTTTTTATGTGTATTCACCACTGTGTGCTTGCTTACTCTCTTGTAATCCCTTCCTTTCCAATCCTTCTGTTCTACAAGAAGGGAAAACAGAAAAACAACTAATCAGGCACAGGATAATGCATACTGAGGGATGCAATGGAGATAACATGACTGAGGACAGCAACACTAACTTTGAATGGCCACTATATGAAGCAATTGGTAAGTGAGAATTACTTGTAAAAGCCAGATAAATATTAAATGAAAAGAGCACACCATTAAAAGAAACAAATCATTCATATTTTGAATATGAGAAGGCCTACAATTATGAACACAATAAAATGGGTTAAGATAAGTTAGGTAACTAATCTTTCAGTGTAAGTCTGCACAAATAAGATTATGAAAATTCTATCTTATGTTATGGAACAGAAAACCATGCAGAACTGTAGCTTTAGACAAAAGAAAGAGAAAACTGAGATCAAGATATGCTTACATAGCATGTAGTGCATGCAATCCAATAGAAGCACATTCTTCTGTCACAAGAAGCTTTATTGGGAAAGTCTGTATCCATGGATGTAGACTTTGTGAATGAAGCAGGAATCAGCATATTCACCGTGTAGCCACTGAAAATCCCAGGGAAGAGAAGAAAAAAGCAGCTGAGTGAATATTTGTTAATACACTGTTATTACCATCATCAATACCGCCCCTCTCCAAGCATGTGAAATGGGGGTCATAATGTATCCACTTTTTCTATATCCTTATTTAGCCAAAAGACTATAGGATAAAGGAAAGAGAATTAAGATGATGTAGTGTTATCATGTTGAGAAAAATACCAAAAGAAAAAGAACAGCACTGAAGCAATTTCGCCTCTTCCACAGGAAATCTAGCAGGTGATGGTCATAGTTAGGAGAGCCTTTGCACACTTTGATTTGTGCACCAGCTGCAGCCTTTCTTGGATCAGGACTCTCTGCGCTCAGTCACTCAAGCCCTAGTCATCTCTCATCTGGATTATTGCAATGAGCAATACATAGGGCTACCCTTGAAATGCATTTGGAAGCCTCAACTAATACAATCTGCGGCAACACAATTAGCCTTTGGTGCCTGTAGAATGGCCCATGCTACAGCACTGCCTCATGAGCTGCATTGGCTGATGGTTTGCTTATGGGTGCAATTCAAAGTGTTGGTTATGACCTTTGAAGCCTTCCATAGCAGGGTCCAGGTTACTTGATGAACCAACTTATTCAGCTACAACAAGGTTGCCCTACTGGTGCTGGCAGAGGAGGCTGGCTATGGATCCCATTATTTAAGGAATACTGGCTGATGGGATCCAGAAGAGCCTTCTCTGCTGTAGCATCAGGTCTCTGGAACATCCTGTCCCCAGAGGTAAGGTGAGGGGCAAACCTCCCCCTGGGGTCAGCATGTTCCAGAGAACCAATGCTGCAGAACAGAAGGCTCTTCTTCTGGATCCCATCAGCCGGAGTTTCTTGAATGACAGGATCCATAGCAGGCCTCCTCTGCAAGCATGAGTAAGATAGGCTTATCTTAGCCAGATGAGATGGCTCATCAAATAGTTCCCATTTAATCTGTCCCCAAACTTCTATTGTTCCACAATGGCTTGAAGACATTGCTCTGCTGGTAGGCCTGGGGACCCAATAGGGGAATATCACACTGGAGGTGGCTAATGGATTAATCAACTGATCCCACCTGCCCGAGCTTCCTGTTCCCCCTCAGCCCATCTTTTAAATTTATATTATTGTACTGTTATTGTTTATTTTTGTTTCATTGCTTTCCTATTGTTATGTTTACATTTTGCTCTATCATTTTTTTCTTTCTTACCATTGTAAGCTGCCCAGAGAAGCTCCATGGAGAGAAGGACAGCAAATAAATTTAACAAATGAATAAATACCAAGCATGCTCTCAGACTACTCTAGAGCTTTGCTAATAATCAGGAATTCTTCTTCCTTGTGAAATATTTCACCAGCAGCAAAATTACTTAAGCAAATAATGGGAAATGTATGGATCATATATTGTTGCTTTAGTGTTCTTTTTTTTAAAAAAATATTTTATTATTTTTTTATAATTACAAATCTTTAGTGCTTAGTAAACAACGTGTTACCTGGGTCCACATTTTTAACTTAATAATACATCTTAATTTAATAATACATGTCTACTTCGTTTTTCTAGCCATTGGTAAAATGTATCCCATGTCTGAAAATATTCTGTATCTTCTTTCCCTTTAATTTTCAGTGTAAGCCTTTCCATTTCTGCACAGTCCAAAATTTTATTAATTATCTCTTCTTCAGCTGGTATTTCTTCATTTTTCCAATGCTGTGCAAATGTAATTCTTGCTATTGTTAATACACGTAATATTAAACATACACATTCTTTATCATAGTTTTCTGAGGTTATACCTAAAAGAAATAGTTCCGCTTAAAATCTACATGTTTTCTTAACATTTTCTCTAACCACATATGTATTTTTGACCAGAATTTTTTTGCTTTGGGGCATGTCCACCAAAGGTGGTAGTACGTGCCTGGCGTTTGTGTTCTATAAACAAACAAACAAACAAACAAACAGGTAGGAGGATACCAAAGTTCCTCACTTCTAGCAATATATGTAAGGACATGAACTAAAACACTACTCATATCATATAAGTTAGACAAATCCCCCTGCAGTTGCATATTTTTTTTTTTAAAAAAGCAAAAGCTAAAATAAAATTATCAAATTTTAATCAATGTTTCTTGATAAGTAAGATGGAAAGAAGGGGCGTTGGTCTTACCTGAACGCCTTTTCTCAGTACGGAGATGGATAATCCATGAATGGGTTTTCTCTGTCTGCCTGCTCTTGAGACCAAGTAGCCAAAGCTTGACACGCCCCCACTTCCTGTGGAGTCCATTCTTAACGAGGGCGAATTGGCTGATGATTGACGAGGTATTGGCTCTCAGCTCCCTACTAGCGGCCTGCTGGCCTTGGGGTGGGTGTGGATTATCCATCTCCGTACTGAGAAAAGGCATTCAGGAAAGACCAACGCCCCTTCTCCAGTACAGGAGATGGATAATCCATGGATGGGACGTACCAAAGCCTCACTGTCCCAAGGGGTGGGAAAAAGATAAGGCCGGTAGATTGATCTCTGAGACAACTTGCTGGAGGACCCTCCTACCAAAGGAGGCATCCGCCGATGCAAAGCGGTCTATCTTGTAGTGTCGTATAAACGGGGAAGGCGAGGACCATGTCGCGGCCCTGCAAACTTCCTCGATTGACGCCTGGGTAGCCCATGCCGCCGAAGTTGCAGCGCTTCGGGTGGAATGGGCTGTGAGATGACTTGGGGGCGGCAGGGATGATACATTGTAAGCTTCTGCGATACAGCTTCGGATCCACCTTCCAATGGTGCCCGCGGAAACTTTCCGCCCCAAGGTGCCCGCTTGGAAGGACACAAATAGGGCCTCCGATTTGCGGAAGGGTTCTGTACGCTTTATATAACGCCGCAAGGCTCTGCGGACGTCCAATGTATGCCACTGCCGCTCCCGGTCATGTGTTGGATTTGGACAGAAGTTTGGGAGAATTACTTCCTGTGTCCTGTGAAAGAGTGAATTCACCTTCGGTATGAAGGCAGGATCTAACCTAAGGACCACCCTGTCCTTGTGGAAAATGCATAGGTCGTTTCTGACTGACAGTGCGGCCAGTTCCGAAATTCGTCTGGCCGATGTGATGGCAATCAGGAACGCCACCTTTAGCGACAGGTGTCGCAAGGAAACGGTCGCCAATGGTTCAAATGGTGACCGAGTGAGTGCGTGAAGGACTCGCGGTAGTTCCCAGGACGGGTACCTGTGAATTACTGGAGGTCTGGTGTTATAGGCGCCCTTGATAAAGGCGCGGATCCTGGGGTGGTGAGCTAAGGGAACCGAATCCGTGCAGGTGAGGAGGGTGGACAAGGCCGCCACTTGCCTGCGGATGGTCGCGGGGGCGAGGCCTCTGTCTAGTCCCTCCAAGAGGTAATCTACTATCTGAGGGATGTAGAGTTTGTGTAAGTCAAACTGCCGTTCCCTGCACCAAAGGCAAAAATTTTTCCAAGTGGAGTCATAAATGCGGTTTGTTGCCGGACGGCGTGAAGCTTGAATTATGGTAATGGCCCCGGGAGAGAATAGTTCCTGTGCCATTATCTGGCGCTCAAGTGCCAGGCGGTCAGTTGTAACCATTGGGGTTCCGGGTGACTGATGGTTCCCTGGTGTAGGGACACTTGATGAGGGGGAATGTTCCATGGGGGCGACTGAGACAGGTTCATCAGGTCGGCGAACCACGGTCTCTGTGGCCAATATGGTGCTACTAGGATCACTTCTGCCCGCTCCTGAATCAGCTTTCGGATGACCGCCGGTATGAGTGGTAGTGGGGGAAAGGCATAAAGCAGACCCTGAGGCCACTGAGTTCTCAGAGCGTCCGTCCCCTCTGCTCGCGGGTTGAAGTAACGAGAGTAAAATCTGGGGAGCTGGGCATTGTCTGATGATGCGAACAGATCGAGGATCGGGTACCCGAACTTGCGGGAGATGTCTAGGAACAAGTTCGGGTGTAGCCCCCACTCCGAAGGGTCCACTGTGGTGCGGCTTAGGAAGTCCGCTTGCTGGTTGTTGACCCCCGATATGTGTTCCGCTTTTAGTGACTTCAGATTGGGCTCTACCCAGCTGAATAGGAGTCGTGACTCTGTCATCAGGGTTTTTGATCTGGTCCCCCCCTGCCGATTGATGTGCGCCTTGGCTGCTACGTTGTCTGTTAGGACTAGAACGTGGTGGCCTCTGATTCTGTCTTTGAATTGTTGCAAGGCTAGGTGGATAGCCCTGAGTTCTAGCCAGTTGATGTTGTTTCTCAGATCCGTGGCGGACCAACGTCCCTGTACAAACCGGGAGTCCAGATGGGCTCCCCAACCATACAGACTGGCGTCTGTAGTGATGGTAACTCTGACTGGTTCCTTGAAGGGTGACCCCTTGGTCACGGCCCGAGAGCACCACCAGCGTAGCGCCCTGCGGATTTGTGCCGTGACCCTGACTAGGTGGTTGGATGCGCTGGTGTTCTGCCGTTGGTACGGGAGCAGAAACCACTGTAGTTCCCGTAGGTGGAGCCTGGCCCAGGGTACAATGGCTATGGCCGATACCATCTTGCCCAATAATTGGGAAAGTGTTAGTATCGGAACTGAACGTTGCCTGTGAACCCAGCGAGCCAGTTCCCTGATGCCGGCCACCCGGTCTTGGGAGAGATAGACCATACAGTTGGTTGTGTCTATCATGGCCCCCAGATGCAGCAGCCTGGACGAGGGAACTGTCTGGCTCTTCTGAAAGTTTACTGAGAATCCGTGTAATTGGAGGACGCGAATGACGGTCCTTACGTCCGCCTGAGCTGTCTGTAGGGATGTTGCTTGGATTAGTATGTCGTCTAGGTAACATTGGACGCGTATTGGGATTTTTCTCAGTTTGGCGGCTACCGCTGCTAGTATCTTGGTAAATACCCTGGGTGCCGAAGATAGACCGAAGGGGAGAGCTCTGTATTGGAAGTGTTTTCCCCCGTAACAGAAACGTAGGAACCGGCGGTGGTTTGGGTGGATGGGGATGTGAAGGTAGGCTTCCGTGAGGTCTAT